AGCCCCAAACATCAAAAAATTAATTGCCAAATCCCCAAAATAAGATAAAAATTTGTTAATAAAAAATTAAGAGTAGCTTAATAATTTGAACTTATAACAAATAAATGTCAACTATGAGTTTTTCCAGATCATTATAAATCTTTTCCAGATCATAAATTTCACCCAACATAAAATTTGGAAATTAAAAAATATAAAAAAAAATCAGAAAAATATACTTGTATATTATTATTTTTTTCAAATAATAACAAGATTAAAAACCAACTTAATTAAAAAATTAAGAACATCCATCACCTTCTCCAGGATTAGCCATGAGACCATTTGATGGAGCTTTCATGATTAACAAACCCACTTTCTAAATTCCAAAAAAATAAAATTTCTTTTTTTGGGCTCTTTACTACAACTTCAAACCCAGAACAATCATCTTCAACATTGTCTTCAAGACTAAAACCACATTCATCAAATCAACCCAAAAAATAATTATATCAGCAACAATCTTGCTGATATTATCACCATTTTTACAATTCAATTTCTTCAAAAAAATCAATCTTGCTCATATTAACCTGCCATTTACAGTTCAATTTCTTCAAAAAAAATAAATAATAAACCCAGAAAAGCGTCGATTAAAGATGGGATTTCGCTCCTTCTTCAAACTAATCAAATTGAAGTAATACCCACTTCCTCAAATGATATAATTTTCCCAGAACAAAAGTACTTTCTTCGAAATATTGAGCTGAATTAGTTGAGCTAATTGTGTCGAAAAGAGATGTTTAAGCGTCGAAAAATGGAGGTATGCCTATAGAAGAGAGAGAAAGTAGAGAGAGAAAAGTATCGAGAAAGGAAGAGAGAGAAAGAGAGGAGCAAAGGAAAGCAGCTTTTGAAGGAGAAGAAGAAGGAAGAAGCCGACATTCAACAGACTGGAGCAGGTCCCTCTACTCTTACTCTTTTTTTCTTGGGATTTATTTTTATTCTATTTTATTTTTAAAATATAATTGGGATTTTAATTTTATTTTTACTTTAACAATAAACAAATTAATGTGTAAAAATTGGGGTTTTATTTTATTTAATAACTAGGATTTTAGTTTTTCATATATTTTTTTAATAAAGTAAAATGAAATTTTTCCTTAGAGCGTCTTGTGTGCAGATGGTCATATCATATGATCGTTTGTAAAAGAACAAAGTATCTCATAAAACACTAAAACCTTTACAAAACAATATTCCGTACTAAAGAACACGGACTAAGTAACCCCTAATCCCTTATAACATTAACGAAATAATTCCTATAATAGTTGTTCACATTGTGTAGCCAGTCACATATACAAATTTAAATTTTTATTCTTTTATATAAAATAAATACATGAGTATAACATAATAAAGTAACCTTTTATAACACTAATCAAGTAACCCTTTAGACTGTAGTGTAGTTAAACACATATAAAAGTTACTCCATGAGTCCATTGATCACATAATTGACATTTTTACTTTTTTATTTTAAACAATAATTAAAAAAAAAAAAAATTGGGATTTTAAAAATATTTTTTTTATATTAATTTGCTTCCCCCCACCTTCCAACTTTCTCCTTTCTCAATCCTAAGCATGCTTAGCTCATATGCTTGGTTCCTCTCACTTTTTTGTGATATGATTTTATATGTTTTTCACTTCCTGAAATTCCTCCTACATTTACATTACTTTAATTATCCACCTATGTGCTTCTTCTTGTTGGGTTAGGTTGTCACTCGTATGAATTATTATAAAAAGAAATTCAAATCTACTTCAAGTTACGAGTAGTTATCAAAGAATTTTAATTGGCCGAAAATAATACTATCGAGTATTATTAGATTTAGTATTCAATATGCAGTAAATAATTTCGACTTTCTGAAATTATCTCTACTATGGAGTTTAAATGTAAGAGAAATTAATAATTTACTTTTGGCCTATTTTCATAGGTAGTATTTTAGTGGTAATTTAAAGACTGGCAAAAGTTAATGTGTACCTCCAATGCGTTTGATAAGAGAACTAAAAGTAAAAAAATTAAACTAAAATAAATAGGAAAAATTGTGGAAAATAATACAACCTTTAGGCGGTTCTTTTTTAATAATACAACCTTTTGATTAAGTTTTAATAATATAACCCTTGGGGGTGTTGATTTTAAATAAGACATAACCGGATGCAACTAGATAAACAAGTTACCACTGCCACATGTCATTATATGATTGGCTTAAATAATTTTTTTATTTTTATTTTCTTTCCCCTTCCCTAAACACTAATAAACCACCATTGCTCCACCCTCTCTTTCCAACCCCACCACCATTGTACCACTGCCAACCCCGCTGCCAATCCCCACAACCAGAATCGACCCTTCCCTTTCCCGACCACCCCGCTGCCAACCCCCACAACAAGGCCAAAACTCCCACTTAACCCACCATTACACAGTTCGCGACCATCGCAGCCACCATTCCTACTTTCCCAACCACCACAGCCAATCACTCCACCTTTCCTGACCACCACAGCCCCCATTCCACCTTTCCTGACCACCGCAACCAACCAAGATCACCAAAAACTCCCACACAGCACACCGACCTCACAAACCCAACAATCATTGCTACTCCACCCCTCTTCTCGCACCCGCATCACCAAGTCCCCAATTACGCACCAAATTACTGTAGGAGTTTATAGGTACTACGCAGCGGAAAAACATGAATCATATTCAATCAAGTACCAATCCCAAGAATCACATGCATAACACACAAGACACATAATCATACCTTTGACGCGTGAATTCCACGAAACTATTTGACAGGCAAATCAGGGAGAAAATAGAGCCCCAAGCGTTGCTCCTCTACTTAGTCCACGAGATTCGAACGAGCCGTCCACCAATACTAGATTGGTCGAGTGATTGAGGAAAACCGCGATCACCACCTTTATGGACAACCGACCACCGCACGAACTACCACCACCACGACACACCAGCGGTGCCTAGGAGGAGGAGAGAGCTGTGAGAGAGAGGACTTTGAGAGGGTTGGGTTTCGTGTTTGCTAATTAGGGTTTGATCACACTAATCAGTTAATTGCTTTCCTTGCTGCAAACCTAGGAACCTAGTCTATTTATAATCTCATTATAATTAGACTAGGGCACGAAGCCCAAAACTCCCTTGTCCACTCCATATGGCCGGCCACCTAGAGTGATGAGGCCCATGTTGGGCCTCGTCCTCTAATGCTTGATCTAGCCCCTTTGTGTGACCTTATAGGATCCGTCCAATTGGGCTTTGGCCTATTTCATTAGTCCAAAGATCGTTATTACCTCTAGCTATGGCAAAACGACGACCCAAAAGTACGAACTTAATTAACTCCATAATTTGATCCAATTATATATCTAGTAATTGCACACGACGAAGACATAACTCCTTCAATCTCCCACTTGTCTGAGACAAGGGTGCAATATTCAAATTCCTTAAGTCAATATATGTGTCGATTTGATAATATGATTGCATCACATGTCGAGATCATATTAATCTACAAATCGTTTCTTGAAATCTGAGTTAGAATTACAAAACCAAATGATTATTGTGTAATGCATTTGAACGCGGCCACGTATTTTCTGAATTCTCCCTCTTCAAGCGGCCATGACACATTTCCTAATTTAATAGGTAGACTCTATCCAATATTGTGGTAACATGACTCCCACTCAACTTCTGAAATAACCGGGAAACACCCTTTATAATCTCCAGTTACGGCTAGACGTTTGAGTGTACCACAGTTACAACATCCATTGAATGAAATCAATGTTCCACTAATGTCAAAGGAATCCACTAATATATACGGAAGCTCTATACTTGAACTTCAAAGTAGGTCAATAGTTCGATCATGCATCATTCATGCATATCCAAGTGATTGAACGAGCATCACTATGCCCCTATAGCCCATGAAACTGCGCTATCTAATCAATCTTACATGCTAGTCCATTTATTGAAATCATTTATGTCCACTTTAATGATCTCGAACTAGGAACTTTAAATAATATATGAATTTTGTTCACCTGTGGGGTTTCAATTCACCAGGTCATCAACCTGATGAGCCCATCAATTCATAATTATTTTGGACATTTTACTTAATTTCCAAAACCATAATTAAATAAGAGAAATAATAATTTCTATTTTAAACATAATTCTGCAAATTAATGCATTTCTCATGTAATATGTTTTCTCAAAACATATACAACTTAAATTACATAACTTGCTTCAATCCTAGGACTTTAATATGACTTTCATACCTTAGTCCATGGAAGGGGTTTAGTGATTTCTCACTCATAATAAAACTTTGCAGAACACGACCTTCCGCTGGTCAATGATCTCATAATTGAGGTGATATCTCATATCCTTTTGTTTAGATTTGTGATGTGACTCTGGCTCCTTTGTTTTTTGGCAAAGGTGACTTGTTAGTCACATGAAATTCTAATCCGAACTTCCTCTGTAACTATCTTACTATAGTTTAATACACATATTATGACATTGAGTATGCAACAGTGCTCTGCTTTGAACTCTTCAAGCTCACTGTCCTTTTCCATCCAGACACAAATATGCATTTAGATCACCATCTAGAATCATCTTGCCTGTTTGAAAAACTTGCATTTGTGTAACCTTTTGACAATTTGCTTAAATTACCATTTAACACAATAGCTAGAAAAAATTCCTTTTAGTGCTTCTCAAGTACTCAAGGACTTTTCTTGGTAATTCTCCGTATGCTTATTCTGAATTTGCTTGAAACCTGCTACATATGTACAAGTCATATGCAACATCTTGCTTTGTACATTTAATGGCACATATAATGAACCTTTTGCAAAAGCATAAGGTACACTATCCATACAACTCAACTCTATTAGCTTTTGAAGGCACTGAGTCTTACTGAGTGTATTACCATGAAACATGGGAAGACATCCTCTCTTATATTCTTGCTTCATGAACTTGTCAAGATCCTTATCAACATAAGTCTCTCGATTCATTCTAATCATTCTTCAAGATTCACTTCATGGATCATAATTCCCAATATGTATTCAACATCTCCTAAGTCTATCATATTGAAACAATCTTTCTAACCACTACTTGACTTATTCAAGCATTGATATATCATTTCATATGAATTGTATGTCAACTACATACTAGACTAAAAAGACCAATTGCTCCCACTAAATTTCTTGTCTCTACAAGAATTCTTTCGTTCTACTAAGGAAATCAAACTGTTTGATTGCCTAATCAAAACGAATGTTCCAACTCCCTGATGCTTACTTCAATCCATAAAATGAATTTCTGAAGTTTGCAAAACTTTCTAGGAATTTCTGGATTTCAAAACTCTTAGGATGTATCATATACATTCTCACCATCAAGAACATTTCATGAAAGTGATTTTGATATCCATAACTAGAATAATCCGAATAGGCTTACCCAACTAATAGGTTTGACCCTATTTGTAAGACTATTATGGACTAACACATTTTTACTGGATTTCATGGCTTTAAGCCATTTCCTGAGTTGGCATCTATCCAAAGCTTGCTTGTAGGCATGGGTTCCAACCACTCCAATAGGAAAATTTTAGAATCCACCTTTTTCTCAGAATTTCAACAAACTGTTTGTTTTGATCCCAAGTAACCTACGATAGGTATGAGCAACAATAGAATTATTCTCTTCAACTCTTTGAAGCCTTTCATTCTAGTGGGACGATAGAAGCCTCGCTAATGGAATTAGCTTGCTTCGACACATGATTTATCAAATTAGCTGATTTCATATGCCTTCGTCCCTGATGTAGTGTTATCCACATCCATTTGTTGCTCGTCTCGAATCTCATCAACTTTACTCCCACTTGGCTTTGTAGGAAGATATTCTTTCTATAAAGACACTATCGCGAGCAACAAACACTTTGTTTCTACGCGATTGTAGGAATAATACCTCTTAGTTTCCATGAGAAAACCCATGCAGAACTACTTTTCTGATTTAGGGTGTATTATGTCATCTTTGTAAACATTTTACATTGATTTCATAACCCTTAATCCTGTTTAGAAAAGATAGCTTTTGGAACATTTCCAAATCATAATTCTTATGACATCTTTTCTTCTGCTTTGGTTAAGTTTCCTGTTTAGTATATTTGCAATTGTTGTTGTTCTAATGCATATCCTCAAAACGATATTTGTGAATCATTAAATTTTGGATCGAACAATGGCAAGCAAAGTTTGATTCCTTCTTCATAAACATACAATTTAATTGTAATGTTTCTGGATTGTGAATTAATTCAACAATTTCCTTTAGATGATCATTCCTTTTTAAGTTAAACATTTATCACAACAATCATATTGTGGTGTTAAATTGTTTCATCTCAAACTGATTTTACATTTCATTTTGGAAATTTTGAACATTTCAATGTTTCCAATCTTTACTTCATTAAGTAATTATCAACATATTTACTTAAATCGTTAGTAAAAGCAATGAAATAGTTGAACCTCTTTGCTAATTTTGAACTTATTGGTTCACATACATCATATGTATGAGTACCAAAAGGTCATTTTAGCTTCCTTTCCCCTTTTTACTAAAAGGCAACTTGGTCATTTTAACTTATCAAGAATGACTTCTAATTCTCAAGTGATTCATAATCATATAAGAATGAGAGTCCATCCAAAACTTTGGATGTGCAAATGGTTTATGTGACCCAACTTTACTTGTTGTAAGTAAGTGTATTTTGAATCATCTAAATTATTTTGTGATCTACTTATATCAATGTCATAAAACAAAATTAACTCATATCTAGCAAAATGAAAACAATTTATTACCTTGGTCATGGATCAACACTTGTCCAAGCCAAGTAAACCAAATTCAGTATTCTAAACAAGAAAGCCGAAATATTGTCTCATCAAAACTGGAAATTGTTTTAAAATCATGATAAACTAATCAAAATTTAAAACTATGAAGCTATCTATGGCCACTCAAATACTTCTAGTGCACCTTCAAGCTCCATTTCCAAGCTAGCTTCACTTGTTTGCAGTTCCTGCGCAACATCACTATGTTAAGCACTGCAACTTGGTATCACATACCTAAGTGAAAGTTAAAATGTTTATAACATTATACCTGAGGTTGATGCTCCATTCTTCTCGAGGAAGTCATGGTATTTCTGGCAATTTCGCTTCCAATGCCCCTTCTTCTTGCAGTAAAAGCATTCACTTTCACTTGCAGCCTTGGGCTTTGGAGTCGTCTTAGGCTTTTCAGGAGCCTTGGCAACTTGCTTGCCCTTGGTCTTGGCACTAGCCTTTTGCCCCTTCTTCTTGAACCCCTTTCCCTTTTGAATCATAAGAACTTCCTTCTTAGGTTCCTTAGGGATTTGTTTCTCAGCACTAACCAGCATTGCATGCAATTGATTCATAGTCTTTGCAGTGGCAGTCATGTTGAAATTCATGATAAACTGGTTGAAACTTTCTGGTAGTGAATGGAGAATGATGTTTGTTGCCAAATCATCACTTTATGGGTGCCCCAGTTTTTCCATACTTTGAATTAGGCCGATCATTTTGAAAACATGATCATGAACTGTGGCTCCCTTCTCCATCCTACAATCTAGAATCTCATGATGGAGCTCATACCTTTCAACTCTAGCTTGTTTCTTAAACAAAGCTTTGAGTTCTTGCATGATTGAGTAGGCATCCTGGTCCTCAAAACGTTTTTGAAGACTAGGCTCCATGGTAGAAATCATTAAGCAAGTGATAGGTATAGCTCTATCATGAGCTTCCTTATGCTTCTTGATCTCTGCCGCAGTTGGATTTTCTGGCAGAGGTCCTGGTAATGGGGTATCAATGATACCCTCTTTACCCTCAGATTTCAAAACAAGTCTTAGCATTCTTTCCCAAGTGGAAAAGTTCTCCCCTGTCAACCTATCCTTCTCAAGGAATGGTCGAAGGTTGTAAACGTTGTTGTCATTGTGGTTACGGCTACCCATCTATGTCAAAATAAGGCAAAGTTTAATAATTATGTTTAATTTAAAATTAAAGTACCATAAACGCATTCATTTGGTAACTTTAAAACACATTATTCAATAATTAATTGATCCCAATTGAATTTTAAGTGATTCCAAGATCCTTTATTTGTGCAATAATTGACCGGACTGAGGCCCTACCATCAATCATTACATTTTCAAGGTGAGTAAACTCTTTATTGATTACAACTCTTGTAACTCTTGGTTGAATAATTAATCGTCACATGCTTAATTATTACCCTTAGCTTCAAGGTTCTAAACTCTTTAGGTAACCTTGTTGAGTATAACCAATTAAAAGTGTAAAACGGGATTTACCCCCACTCCCCTAAGATATAATATGACACCTAGCTGAGGCATGACCCATCATAAAATATCAAAGGTTTCATCGGGTTTTTAATTGGAAAAGCTATCTCAATATTACTGGGACCTAGATTTATTATGTTGTGATTATTTAGTGAACTATAGCGCATCATCAATCAACATAAATAAAATCTAACATGCATAGTCAACTAATGCAATAAATCATGACATAGTATGGCTCCTTAGTCCTAAGAAAACTAGAAATGAAAAAGCTCCCACTTGAATCATCATGGATCTCCATCCACCTTGCTCCTTTGGGCCTTCACTTCATGGGCTTCTTTGGACTAACACTATTTAAATAACTATTCTATTTACTTTAAATAAAAGTTACAAAAATACTTAACGGTACGCAGACCGTATTTAGATTACAAAAATACATCACGATGCGCAGATCGTATTTAAGAATCTATGGGCCATACTAGTCTATATATAGAAACATAATATCATATATTATAAAAGTGTCATATAATAAATCACTCAACATGCTTGTCTAAATTACAACATCGAATGTTCATAATAAAGTCAACGCATTTCCTAAAATATCTTATATTTTAATCATAATTAGATAATATCATATATTATTCATGACCGTTTATAAAATATCATATATTTAATTTAGCCACGAGATAGAATCAAATCATATTTTAATCTAGAAAGATAAATCATATTTAATCTTTCATGATTATCCTAACAAATTTAGGAGATTCTATCCTAATTACTAGCCAATCAAATAATTTTAAAATCAATTATATCCTAATCTAATTATGGGATAATCACATTATTTAAATCAATTATTATCCTTTTGGAATATGCTCAGAATATCCTAGTCAATCTTATCCAAAATTAACCACTTTAATTAGGACAATTACCAATTTAACAACTTTAAATATGGATAATATCAAATATAACAACTCTTGAATATTTGATTTTATCCTAAAATAAAAGATTTTATCCTAAAATAAAAGATTTTATCCAAATAAAACCAATTTTATCTTTTAAAATAAAAGATCATATTTTCAAAATATTTTATCTTATCCAAAATAAAACTGATTTTATCCCAAAATAATTCATCATTATCTTGAAATAATTTTTAAAATAAGATAAATTTTTTTTTTTTTTTGAAAAACCCGTGACTGCACGGTTGCTGGCCACCGTGGTTGGCTAGCCGGGGCTAGCCACTGCCGCAAGGCAGCAGCAACCAGCAACAGAGGCAGCCACGGCAGCAGCGTGCAACGCTTGCATAGCTGCTGCCTTAGTCACCAAGACCGCCGCCCTCCCCTTCCCCTCCCTCTTGGACCGCCACCTGGTCGGAAGCCGCGGCTGTCGGCCACCTAAAACAGTTTTTTTTTTTGTATTTTAATTTAATTAAAATAACATTTATCATAATTAAATTAAATCAGTCCATAAGATTAAAATTAAATCACATTTAACTTTAAAATTAGGGTTCTTCATAAAATTAATCCCAATTTAATTTTAACTTTTAAAATTAAATTGATGATCATACACAAAACACTTTTATGCATAAATCAATGGATTAAAATTATGAATCATAAAATAAATCGAATTAAATCAAAATCAAGCACAAAAATCATATTTTAGGGCTAGGATTTTCGAAAAATTCGAAATTTAGGGTGAGGGGGTTCGAAAATTCCGAACATATTAGGGCTAAGATTCGGTCTCTTCATGGCTATTTTGAGCATAATTAAATCACATTTAATCGATTCCAAAAGTTTAATCACATTAAATATAATAATTGAACCATAATTAGATTAATTTCTCCCTCTTAATTGATTATAAAATTAACGTGGTCATCAAATAATCGTATTATTATGATCAAGCGCGTTCATGCAAGAGGCTAACTGATACCACTGTAGGAGTTTATAGGTACTACGCAGCGGAAAAACATGAATCATATTCAATCAAGTACCAATCCCAAGAATCACATGCATAACACACAAGACACATAATCATACATTTGACGCGTGAATTCCACGAAGCTATTTGACAGGCAAATCAGGGAGAAAATAGAGCCCCAAGCGTTGTTCCTCTACTTAGTCCACGAGATTCGAACGAGCTGTCCACCAGTACTAGATTGGTCGAGTGATTGAGGAAAACCGCGATCACCACCTTTATGGACAACCGACCACCGCACGAACCACCACCACCACGACACACCAGCGGCGCCTAGGAGGAGGAGAGAGCCGTGAGAGAGAGGACTTTGAGAGGGTTGGGTTTCGTGTTTGCTAATTAGGGTTTGATCACACTAATTAGTTAATTGCTTTCCTTGCTGCAAACCTAGGCACCTAGTCTATTTATAATCTCATTATAATTAGACTAGGGAACGAAGCCCAAAACTCCCTTGTCCACTCCATATGGCTGGCCACCTAGAGTGATGAGGCCCATGTTGGGCCTCGTCCTCTAATGCTCGATCTAGCCCCTTTGTGTGACCTTATAGGATCCGTTCAATTAGGCTTTGGCCTATTTTACTAGTCCAAAGATCGTTAGTACCTCTAGCTATGGAAAAACGACGACCCAAAAGTACGAACTTAATTATCTCCATAATTTGTTCCAATTATATATCTAGTAATTGCACACGACGAAGACATAACTCCTTCAATTACAACCAAAGCCACCAATTACCCCCAATTATCGCCAATTAGCCATCCCCATTCAGCAATTTGCCACCAATTTTAAACATTTTCACCCTCCGCCATTGATTTGTTGAGATTTGTGATTGATGGTGATGTCGGGGCGCGAGCATGATGTGTGAAGAAGAGAGTAGGGTCGAGGATGGTGCCGGTGGTTGGAGATTAAGGATGGGCGAGCAGGTAGCTAGGCTCGGGGTGGGGGAGGTGGGCTTGTCACCGGCGGCTAGCGGGGGAGGGGGCTGGACAGGCAGGGGGGTTTTATTATAATTTTTTGTAAATCAATTTTTTTTAAAAAAAAAATCAAATTTTAATGTTTAGACAAATTACATAATGACACGCCTCAAAGGTGACTTGTTTACTAGGTTACAAGTTTTTTGTCTTGTTTAAAATCAACACCCCAAAGGTTATATTATTAAGACTTAATCGAAAGGTTGTATAATTAAAAAAGAACCGTCTTAAGGTTGTATTATTTTCCGCAATTTTTCTAATAAATATTACATTGATCAACGCTTGATTTTAACATGCATTTCAAAATAACACTATTTTTTAAGTTATACTAACGCCTTGACACTCCATTAACAAGATCATAACCATCAAAGATTTCACAGAATTAGAATTCAATGACAAATTATCAACTTGAGATAAAAAATTAAAATAAAAAATAAAAAAGGGTTGACGCAGATAGACCTCAATTTGTATAAGGTTTACTTGGAAATTTGTAATGTTTATAAATTTATGAAGTTTATATCATTTGGTGCAATTTCTTGAATTGAAAGTATCTAAAGCTTTGATGTATTCACCTTGTTTTTCATTCGTTTCAAGAAAAATAAGTTCATCTAAACCAATTATTGTTTGGTATAGTGAAAATGATAGCAAATTTTAACCTTGAATAATTTACGGGATAATGAAAATAATACTAGTAGCAAATTTCAACCAGTAGGGATCTCATACCTCTTCCCTTCACTTTCATAGTATTTGACCAACAAATACTAGTTTAAAAAGACCGTGAGGATTAAGGTCTAATCACAACATTTAGTTAGATTATGGTAAAATAATAATATTATTGTCCCCCAAATTTTCCAATCATGACTTGAATCTCATCTCTCTCAACCTCTAAAGGGACAATGTTGTCTTTTTAAATATTTTCATTCTTATTATTTTACAAAAAAATATGTGTCATTTAGAAATAATGTAATTATATACTCCGTATATTGAAATGGAGGGAAGTATATGTCTACCATTTGACTGTAATAGTGAATTTAGTAATTTATCTCCGAAATAATTAAATTTATTATTGTATGAAGTTTTTAAATGCTCACGACAAGAAGGCAAGGAACGAAAGTCGCATGGGGCAAGGGTAAAGAACGAAAAAGAAAGGTATAACATACTCCGGTTTCTGTTTTTGTAGGT